GCTATTCGAGAGGCCACTTCAGCACGCAAAGCAAAGCGGCAGAAAATAGAAACTGCCTAGAAGATAGAGGGCTTGTGTGATAAAAGAGTCAACCATGAATAATCTGTGTACAATGAAGCAGAGGTGGTGCTCTGTGAACAAACCAGAGTTGAAGAATGCGCAGCGCGGACTGGAGGGTGTGGAGGGGGTCTGGTGTGGCGTTACGATGCATCCTGTCCAACATGGCTGCACAGCCGATAAGCCCGTCTTATCTCTGTTACCAACTGCTGCCCCAAGAGAAAGTGAGCGAGCGAAGAACAGACAGCAAACAAGACTCAAATAAAGCCTCTATTGTTTCATCTCTTCACACACTCCTCCTCCTCCTTTCCCCTCACATGAACACACACTTCAAATGTCCCCCGCCCGCTGTTAACTGGCGGGGGAAAAACCTCGGTGTCACCTTTGTATTCTGCTGCATCATGGCCGCCCAACATCACGCTCTGTCATCTTTAAAGCTGCTATAAATAAAGCATCCTCATCCTCACACAAACACTTCAACTCTGATGGCTGGTGGACCCCATGGGAGCCGCCTTTTTTATATTTTTTTTACCCCTCCTTTGCCTCTTTCAGACTTTTTCTGTCAACTTCCAGCAGGCAGACGATGCAGGCTCCCGCCGCGAAAGAGCAGACATGCACGGAGATGCAAATCAGCAGCGTTGGTGAATATGCGGTGAAAGAGCACATGCAAAGCGTGCGGGGCGCCCCGGATTGTTTAAAATGCACATTTGAAAAAAGGGCATCCCTTACATAAAATGCAGCAAAGGACTGTGAGTATTGGTGCTCAGAAGTCGCTTCAGTACTTTTGCATTTTTACAATGACAATAAAGAAGACAGCTGCTTGAGTTGTAAGTGTAACTGCAATATTTATACAGTTAAACTTACTGAACCTCTATGAAGTGAGTACAATATTTTATGTACCGGACAAAATTTTAAACAAATTTGTAAATACAACCTAAAAGGAACTAAGATTTTTGAATGATTTAGATTCAGAACAGAAATAATAGCCATCAGTATCTACAACGACTTTGAAGACATTTAATTTGCCTTTGGGATCAATAAAATTATTTCTGAGTTTGAATTTAAAAATGTGACAGTTCCAAACTGGAAAAATAATCTTTACAGTGAGATAAAAACAATCTAAATTTCTTTCTGCAATTAAAAGAATTTTGAAGTTTATTACAATAAAGCAATATGTTTTGTTGTATTTTTTTTTAAATATGCCGGTAATATTATGATTTTCTTTTTATGTGAGTAGGAGGTAAATAAAAGTTTATAATTCGTTCTGCTCCTTTTCATACATAATTCCTGTTAGTCGTAATGTGAACAATTCATACTTATTTTTGAGTGATTGAAATAAAACGACAAACAAAAAAATATAATCTACAGAAAAATTACACCATATATATCATAAACAACATTGCCAGATTGCTTTTGAACACAGCTTTGGATGGGTTGTTAACATTTGATTTTCACAACATTTGGTGAATTTTTAGAAAGATTTCAGAGGAAAATTATTTTTGGAGTTGTCACTGTGGCAGAAAATCACAAAACCTAATAAAACGCCATTTATTTCGAAATGTCTAGAATCTGCCGAATGTGACATCATCAATTACTATGCATTATAAAACAAAAATCCCAGTGCAACATCATATTAAACACAAGAAACACAATTTTCATTTTTATTCCAATGGGATCTGGTTCTGGTCAGAATATATAATCACAATTATATCAGAGGAAATTAACTTTAACAGGCCTACCTGAACCCCAGTTTGCTGCAGATTGAACCTGTCGCAGCCGGAAAGCCACAGGTGAAATCAAAGAGGGGCGAAAATTCGAAACCACCCGGGACTTTATTTTTATTTTGTCAAAAAGTGACTTTTATAGCAATTTGAATTGGTTTCAAACATCCATTAAGTTGAAATAGAGATAGTTGAAGAAGTGGTTGGCTAATGTGTTGATAACACGCTTAACGTCTCCTTCTTACTGATTTTTATCAATGGTTGGCAAAAACCGTTCGGTTCGCATTACCGCCACCTACTGGCATGGAGTTTAACTCAAAATGTCTACATTATTTTATACATGAATTATTGATTATCTTTGTTTCCCTAAAAATAATATTTTCATTTTATTGTTTTTATATTTTAAAGTTGGAAGAACAGGGCAACTTTGAATAGTTATTTTTATATTTATTGTATGTTTATGACAAGTTTCCTGTTTGCCAAGAATGTTATGAATAAAGTTGATTGATTGATTTATATATAAAAGTTTCATTATATTCAAGTAAATAAAGTATTTGTGAACTGAATTTGCAACTTTAAAATATATCTTAAATTGTATATTATGGTCTTAATCTGTATTTACAGTAAACACCAGAGTTTTTAGAGCACAGGTAGTGTAAACAGTAGCCCATTTAGTGAAGCGCTGTCACTTTTCAAAGGTAAAGTTCATGCTTCTGACGACCTGAACACATTTGGAGCTGATTTAATGTCGCCTCAGTTTCCATTTGAGCAGATTGACATCAAGGCCTGCATGCAGATAAACCGTGGAAGGTGAAAAAGGTAAATTTGATTTGTGGAGGTGAAATTCAATTTAACCAATCATTACTAAAGTCAGACATTCCTATAATATTTTATGACACCTTGTCCCTGTCGTTTAGCGTATATAACATAATAATATTAATTTCTGTAACAATTTCCACTTGGAGGCAGAGAGAGAAATGTCCATTTAAAGTTGGAGAAATCCAGAGCTGGGAGACACGTTCTGGTTGGACATGCAAAACTTCCACCTTGTACAATGAAATTTTTATTCTCACAGCAGGCTATTTTTGTCAATTACATATTACACGATGCAAATAATCTTCTCAGACGTGGCATTGCTGGATCAAGAGGACGTCACTGACGCCATTCACGAGATTCGGCACAGCAAATTTACAATGCAAAAACACAGAGAGACGCGGCTTTTCGCACCTTCACATGACAGGAATAGGCAAATAGGAGGTTAGGTTTAAGGCAGATGCTATTTTAAGTATGTACATGTCGGTGTTTTTAATGAAGCCGCTTGTTGTGACATGATCCAGTTTCAAGACCGCAAGCTTTCCTGGTGAGAGCGACGCAGCAGTAATGCTAAAGCTAATGCTAATGCTAAAGCTAAAGCTGAAGGCCAAACATTCCGAACATCCCGTTATGGGCTTCCAGGTCTGAGGAGGAATGTAAGGAATACAGTGCTTTGTTTATGGGAAACATCTGACGGGGAAAAAGGACAAGGCGTGACAAATAAAAAGAAAGAAGAAAAAATAATGGGCCTTTGTAAATAAAAGAAGAAAAAAAAAACTGAAATTTTTAGATTAATCAGAAAATTTCCAGAAAAAAAATTAAATAAAATCCTGAGCTACAAAAGTCACAAATTTGCATAAAAAAAATATATATATATTCTGGGACTCATCTCAAAATTAATTTGTATTTCTGTAGTTAGCACTGGGCAAAGGCAGAGGAGGTATTTTTTTTCATTCATTACCATTTTTGTAATATCAGGACATAGACATGTGAATGTTTCAGTGTCTAGCGATTCCATTCAGAAACTAATTTCTCTATTCAAATGGTCCAGAGGTTCTGTTACAGGAAGAGTGTAAACAAATAGAACATTTCTTTAAAACATTTCCATAAGGTTCAATTCTGTATTGAATTCCATCAGATAGGTTCCTGTATAAAATTCTGTAAATTAAATTCAGAATATAATTTTGGAAAGAAAATCAATTTCTGAGCATTTCAGAATTCCCAGGACAAGCGACTGCAATTATTTATGCAATTGATTTTTGTCTGTACCTTTTTAGATTGTGAAAAACATTTTTTTTAAATAAAAGTTACATACCCCAACTTTAAATAACGTAAAGTTATTTTAGTGATGCAAAATTAATTCATAAATTTAGAGAATCTCCTTTGTTCTCTAAATGTGCATTAAAGATTATTCAACACAGCAGAGTTTTGGATAAACCAAACTGTTTAAAATATAATCACACTGTTTAATGTGGCTCTTAAACGCCACAACAGACACAAAAACAACAATTCATGGTTTGTAAATGGTTTTTATTAGCAAAATAAGGGAGATGAGTCTACAAAGATTCTCTTTACATGGAGAACATACACATACACCGACAGTTGTGGCAGTTTCTTTACATGAAAAGACCTGGACTTGTGTGTGTGTGTGTGTGTGTGTGGTCTCTCCTCTGGACCGCAGAGAAGAAACAACCCGACTGTCACACTTCTCTTGAAATACAGGGAATGCTTTCCTCTCTAAGCACATACTCAAAAATCCAAAATGGCTTACATCGCTTCACCCTCAACTTTACAACGATCTAAGATCTCCTCCAAATATGTTAAAATATACAATAAAATGCAACAAACCTGGTCTCTGTACTTAAAATACTTGAGTATATTAAACGCTCAGTGCTTGACTAACCGCTTTCTGAATGATTGGGAGCATCTGATATATTTTTTTTGTACAGTTTAAAAACCAGAGTCCCAGATTTGTGGGCTAAATGTAACAATATACATCTCAGTGTTGAGCTCTGATTGGCCGGAAAGGCCTTCGAATGTCATGACAGGTGGAATGCAAAGGGGGCGGGGCTAAAGAGGCTACATGTTGATCGCCTTGAACCTACAGAGACTTTCCTCCTCCTGACAGCTCAGTGATGTGCACAAAGAAGATAGTAGAGACACTAATGTATGAAAACAGTTTACGTCTTTATGTATAGAACAACTTCAGCAGGCAACAGAACAAGCATCGAGACTACGACCGCAGTAAAAGGCATGCGAAGGCACAGGTACCAACAAACTGGACTCGGAATTGTTCCGCTTTCCTCCATCCTTGTTTTGTGGTTTTGGGAAAAGAAAGAAAGAAAGAAAAGGAGCTTTTCTAACCAACAAGTAAGGATTCCGTTTCCAGAAATGGCGGCAAAAACGCTGTAATCTCCTACTCCTTGGAAATGAAAAACAAAGATTAAAACATAAAAAAAGAACAAGTGATGCTTTTACATTGATACAAACAGCCTACACAAATGTAATAACTGTAGTTGAGAATGTTCTGAGACAGAAACATAAATAAAGCTGTTAAAAGTGGCGTATAGTACAGCACTGGTCCATCACTGATCCTCTTCTCATCCTCTCTACAAAAGATGCACAATGAGCTGGCTCCACCGCCTGAGGAGAGAGCAGACATGAAAGAATGATGGATGGAGAGGCAGAGCTCGACCCTGGCACCAACGCTTCTCTACGCACCCACATGGAGGGAGAGAAAATAAAAATCTAAATTAAAGCCTTGAGAAATATGAAAGAAATAAATGGTAAATTCCTACCAAAAGCAGGTCGTCCTCGTCGCTCAGAAGAGACCGCAGTCTTTCAGGTTGTTCTTGATGATGACGTCGGTGACGGCGTCGAAGACGAACTGCACGTTCTTGGTGTCTGTGGCGCAGGTGAAGTGGGTGTAAATCTCCTTGGTGTCCTTCCTCTTGTTCAGGTCCTCGAACTGACACTGGATGTAGGCGGCCGCTTCCTCGTACGTGTTGGAGCCTGAGGAACGCCAGACGGGAGGATGAGGATGGCGAAGGAGCACATCGCACAGAAAGAGGCAGCCAAAATGCATCAGGGTTTCTGAAGGGCTCGACAACTCAAATTTAAGACTTTTTAAGACCATTTAAGACCTTTGTCACTACAGAAATGCATATAAGAAACTGCAAATTCTGTCAACAGAAGTGAGCTAGTGGCTAAGACGAACATCATCCAGCCAACTGGATTTGCACTTATGCGATAGATGCCAAAAAGTTAGCTAGCTTTAACTTTGGTAGTTAGCTAGATAGCTAGTAAGGTTATATTAGCAGCTAGTTAGCGGTAAGTGCAAGTTTTTGTGAGACCATAAAGTCCCATGAAAAAAAATTAAACTACATAGAATATGGTCACTTTCCAAAAAGATTTAGGCAAACCAAAAATAAGACTTTTGGAAAAAATTGACTTAGGGCATTATTTTAGGAAAGTAACAAATTAAATAGTCCAACAAAATTTAAGACCTGTAAATATTAACATATCTAAGGCCAACTTATTTTTTTAAACAGACAATTTAAGGCCTTAATTTTAAATACATAAATTTAAGATGCTTTAAGACTTTTTAAGGATGCGCGATACAGGAGGGCATTTATCGTGATCAATTTCTTTTTCATGTGCTGACATGAAAAATCTAATTAAAAATGTTTAAACCCCTCAAAATGTTTTTTTTTTCACACTGTTTAATGAGAGTATCAACAAATATCAATCACTTTTAAAAATCTGATTAAATGCATTTACTGTGAGCAGTGTGATGATACAAATCACACTTCGTTAGTGAATCAATTTGTGTTTATGGAGCTATAATTACTGTGCTATTGATTCACAGCCAGTTACCTAAAAATTAGTAATACATATTTATTGTTTATTGTTATCACAACAGCACTGTAAAATATTGTGATAAAACTTTCTTATCAGCCACCTCAAGCATACAGAGCCTTGCAGAAGTATTCATACCACTATTAAAATAAATATCAATTTATTCTTTGGGGATTTTTGGTGATTTACAAGTTTTATAATTTATAATCTTCCAGAAATAGGAATCTGAAAAGTGTGGCATGCATTTGGATTCAGCCCGTGTCTTACCTGCATATTCAGGGTAACAGATCGTGAGGGGACTCTTCTTGATCTTCTCCTCAAACAGATCCTTCTTGTTGAGGAAGAGGATGATGGAAGTGTCTGTGAACCACTTGTTGTTGCAGATGCTGTCAAACAGCTTCATACTCTCATGCATTCGGTTCTGGAGGGGAAAAAAGAAGAAGAAAGTTATGAGCTGTGTTCAGCGATCCATAAAGAATGATCTGTCCTCTGTTTCACCAACCATCTCCTCATCCTCGGCCAGCACCAGGTCGTAGTCGCTCAGCGCCACGCAGAAGATGATGGCCGTCACGCCCTCGAAGCAATGGATCCACTTCTTCCTCTCAGATCGCTGACCGCCGACGTCAAACATTCTGGTGAGCAGACAGCAGCGTCACCGCAACGAATGAAAACTACACAACATTTTTGTGATTTCACTCTTTTATGAAAAAACCCCTATAAATTATTAACCAATCTTCAGCTTTACTGGTCAAAAACTCATAAATCCCATATTTATCGGACCTGAGAGCTAACACGTCATGCTAACGATAACAGAGGTCAGAAAAGAAGTTAATAGTGAATAATGAAGAGTGAAGTGCCTAAACATGAAGCAAAAAATACACTTTATTAAACAGAGAGTCACGCTTTATCAGATAACAGGAAGGCTACACGTGCTAACCGCTAATATAAGAGCTGCAGATGTGACCTTTTTGTCATCATTTAAAAAAAATAACAGTCAAAAAAACTTCATTAACTGCAGAAACGTAACTATCAAGAGGCTTTTTCCTCTCAGAAAAAAACAGAACATTTTGACTTATTTTCTGTGAAATCTATAATTATAGACTACCTGCTGTAAATCTTAAATATTATTAGTTAATATTAGCAACAATCGGTCTTATTTTACTTTGTAGATTTAGTAGTTATGTATTTAAATAACCCAGAAAGATTATCCAATAATTCTCTGCAGAAACTGAAGGACGGTCTCAAAAACACTCTGAGTGAGTTTGTTTCTGCTTTGGGTTTGATGTAATCTGACCTTTGCTCCTTAACTCAGAAGTAAACATTGCAGCAGTAGCGGCACATGCTTTGTTTTTTGTGTGTGTGTGTTTGTTTTACATTTCAGTTTTATTTACTGAAATTAAAGGTTGGAAAATGTCACACTATGATTTTTCCCTCCCATATTGATCCAAACACAGAAATGAGACTTTAAACTTTAGCACTGGGTAAGAAATATTTCAGTACTTTACTCTCTTGTGCTATTTTATCATTGTCATTTAACTCAAAGGCTTTCTAAAAGCCTCATATTGTATTGATTCTATATTTATGTTTTATTAGTAATAGATTTAAATGTAAAATGCAAACAGAGGGCAGCAATAAACAGACCTCAGCTGGAAATGATGTTTTGGATATTTAGTAGTTCATTTTGTAAGGTTAACAGGAAGATAAACTTGATTAATATCTTTACATCTGTTCTTGCAGAGACACTTTACTGTATCTAGATGGATAAATTGTGTATCGACTCAAAGTTTTCTGTACTGGTTTTTATTTATCTTTCTTGTGAACTCCTATACCTAATGATGTTTTTCTCAAATCAGACTCCTGATTTTGCAGGTAAATGTCAATAAAAGCACCAAAAACCTTAATTACAGCTTATAAAACAGATTTTAAACAGCCACATTTGCTTCTAAACAAAGCCAGAAAGATTAAATAAATAAAGCTTTTACTGCTTTAAGCGCTTCCATTGTTCAATTTCTGATCTAATCAGCAGTGATGCTGAAATCGCCAACAGTCCCCGCTATCGTGACATCATCGCGCCTGCTGCCCCTCCGCCCCCCTTCACTTCCTGTCTACGGCGTCAACAAAAGGCCCCGACTGAGTCACCGCTGATGTGCGCAACACCCTGAGACCTCATAAACCTACAGCTGAACGCGTTCAAAGGGAGTTTCTATGGCGGAGATGAGTCAGTGACAGGAAGAAAAAAAAAAAAGCTAATTAAGCGTTTGAGTCGAAAACCCTGCCAACGTTCTCACTTGAAGTGAAGGTCTTTGAAGGTGAAGTGCGTCTCTACGATGCCCGTGGTTTTGACTCGGGTTCTCAGGACGTCCTGCTGGGTCGGGATGTAAGTGGGCTGGGATATCCTGTCCAGATCGTTCAAGTAGCTGAGAGCGGGACACAGGGAAGAGGAATGTAAACAGAGAGCGAAAGAGGACAGGAAATGAGGCGAGCGTTTCTTCTTCTGCACCAGCCAGAGGTGGGCAGAGTGGCTAACATTATACCAAAGTAAGAGCAGTGAGATGTTTCTACTTGAGTAAAAACTTTAAAAAGTCTTTGGTAAGAAGGCGACAAAACATCCTTTAATATGTAAAAATTACATCATCCAGATTGTAAAGTTAAGTGGAAATATTAGTATTTTAGAGACCAAAAAGATGATAATTTACATAAATTATTACAAAATAATGTCAATTTCATTAAATATAAAACTTATTAAACTAAAAAACTGAAGGTGTGTGTCTGGTGAATTCTTGGTTAAAACAAACTCATAAGAATAGTGATGCCTCATCATAAAATTAAAATTACTTAGAGTAATAAAAATACTCCTAAAAGTAAATTCTCTCCAAAACGTTACTGACGTTAATGGCAATAAGTAAATGTAACTAGTTTCTACCCACCTCTGGCATCAACTGTGATAAATTTAAAGCAAATAAAATCACATTTCAATAAATCTAATTTTATTTGTACAGTTCAAAGTACTTTAAATCATAAAACACAAAAATACAAATTCATAGAGCATACAATTGAAGAATTACATGTTGCCATCGTTACAGACCAGATTATTTAATGTTTCACTTATAATGTTTCAAAAACAGGTGGGTTTTTACTCTTTGTTGAGAGGAACTCAGTGTTTCGGCTGTTTTGCAGTTTTCTGGACGTTTGTTCCAGATTTGTGGTGCATAGAAGCTGAATGCTGCTTCTCCATGTTGACACAACAGCGGCAGATCTTTCATGTGTTGTGCTGCTAAAGCCGTTCAGTGGTTTAGAAACCAAAAACATTATTTCAAAGTCTGTTCTCTGAGCTGCAGGGAGTCGGTGGAAGTGGGCTGAACGCCAGCAGAACACTTTGCAGTTAAAGTTTTAAAACAAGCAGACGATTCCATCTTTGGTGAAATAAAAGCCCAGAAGACGTTCAGTGCAACAATTCCTTTAGTCAAACTTGAACAAAAGCTTTGCCTCAACAAACAGGAGCCCAGTTGTTAATCTCATCTCTTTTCAGCTTGGTGTGTGTGTGAATTGTTTCCCCAGTGGTCAGTAGGTTCCCAGAGGCTGCTCCAGTCCCTCCCACTGTAGGACAATGTGTAGCTGGACAGGAAGCTCCCGATGTGTGAGGCCGGTAATGGACTAGCCATCTGTCTGGGGGGCTGGCCCACATTCTGCCAGAACCTGCTGCGGCCCCTCAGGACCCACCTGGGAGCTCACAGTGACTAAAAACACACCGATCAGCTCACACCGCCTGGGAGAAGTATTCAAACCATGGCGGATATTTCCTACATTTTGTCACATTAAAATAAACATATTATGTTTGGGATTTTATCTGATAGAGCAACGTAAAGTTAAGTGGAAGGATAATAACAAAATGACTAAAAATCCAAACAGTGTGATGTCTTTATATTCTGATAGCAGGTTTTCTTCCATTTTTTAAATCCCTCAAACTGCTGAAACTTTTAGTTTTTGTTTGCTGAATCTATTTATTACATAACAAATATTTTATGACTCAAACTCATTACATCAAGGTTATAAAAAAATCTGTAAGCATTCTTTTGTCTTCCAACACAAGAGCGCAGCAGGACTGGAGGAACTAATGGTCCAGCAGTGACCTGCAGCAGAACAGCTTGTGTTTGTGCTTCAGAGCAACAAAACAAAGCTGCTCTTAAAAAAAAATAAATAAAATTTGCTGCTTTGTGATAATATTTATTTCAGATTGTCCAATATCACAAACTCAGGCTTTAGTTTCAGAGGGAAGTGAACTGCTGTGTGTTTTCTAACAAGCGTGTTGTACTGAAGTGTAAGGTCAAAGATTAAGCAGCGTTTCTTTTAGCTCGATGGAGGAAGGTAAATATTGACAGAGTAAAAGTCCAGACAGATGCTGCGGCTCCGTTTCAGCGTCTGCTCGGCTGCAGCAGCACCTTTTCTGTTTGTTTGCACCGAAACGCCAGCAATTTCACATAAACCCAGCGGATCGCAGTGTTCTCGCTGCGAGTGACTCACCGATCTGGTGAACCAGCCGATTATCAAGCCGCCCGTTTGTTTGTGTGTGTGTGTGTGACTCACTATGCCGCCGAGTCGTTGAGCTGATATTCGCGCGAGCGGCTGAAGCAGGCCTGGACTCCCCGGTCCACCCAGAGCCGCTTGATGACGCCGGCGAGCTCGGCCGTCATGAAGCCTTCCTCCGCCGACCCGGCCAGGACGAACAGCTGCCGGGCGTCGTCCTGGCAACACGAAAACACATTCATCCGCCATCAGAAGCAAAACTAAACACGTGAAGCTGAAATGGTCGTTTCTGGAACAGACATGCAGGTTTGTTTCTTTTTTTTTTTAAGAGAGAAAACGTAGGCAGGAAGTAAAGGAGGCTGTAATAGTGCTCCATAAATTCAGGTTTTCGGCTCGGATCCGGCTCCCTCCCGTCACTCACGGCTCTTGCGGCTTCGCCGAAGTCGATCTTGAGGCGTCCCATGGCTCTGATGATGGCGATGATGGACTGGATGGTGTTGCTGTAGACCACAGCCTTGTACTGCTTGCACTCCTCTTCTGAGTAACCTGCTTCATGGATGATTCTGCAAAACAGGAGGGAAAAAAAAAACTCAAATTTTTCTCTCTTTCTTTCTTTTACCATCTTTTAGGGGTTTTTCTTTCCCCACAGTCGCGTTCAGCTCCGTCTTATTTAGATAAAAGCTTCAAAGGAATGTAAACAATGGAAGATTAGAGCCTCAGATGTTCTGCAGCTTCGTATTAGAGCGTGGTTTTCTTCTAGAAAGTATGTTGGTAATTATATTTTCGCTTTCTTGAACTACAGAAGATGTGAATTATGGGTATTGTTGTCTTATTGAGTTACTATTATAGTAAAAAACTCATGTTCAGCCCGTAAAAAGATAATAGTAGATTTTATGTGTTAAAATCTGCATTAGATTTTCTGTTAGCTTTAAAAACCGGAGATGAAGGAGCTGTGGAGTAATATTAACAATTTACAATCATATTTAATCAATAAATGGGTCAATTAGGGCAGATAGACGATGAACGGATGAACAGACGGAAGAATAAATGGACATGTTGGGAAATCGAATGGATGGATGATACAAATGAAGAGTTAATTGTTTATGAAGAAGCTTCATAAACAGGCAGACAAATAACTGATTGATGAGCAAAACTACAGAATCAATTCCTGGAATCCAAGTTTTTCCAGTTTAACTTCCTTTTCCTACTAATCCAGATCAGATTCCTGACTTTTAGAGATTTCTCAGTGATCCTGGAAACGGACAGGACCTCCATCGTTTGCCTGTAAATAAGTAACTAACCCAAACAACACCCCGGACAGCAGAACTCTGTGATCCGTGTTGTTTTCTCCTGTGAAAAGCGTCGGCAGCATGCGGCTCCTGCTGAGCGTGTGCGAGCTGGCAGCCCTGCAGCAAATGTTATCTCCACCTGTTTGTTCACTTTTCTTTCTCAAAAAGAAACGATCTATCTAGTGCTGCATGCGAGTCCTTCAGCTCGCCGCTTTGAAAGATAAAGAAAACAAAAAGAAGGTTTTCTCAGTATGGAGCTGCCAATGAAAACATTTAACTCACGGCTGCTTTGGTTAATAGGCCACAAGTCCAAAAAGAGCAGAAACAAAGGAGAATAAAAGTTTCTGGTGATATTTACTGAGGATATTTCTAAAAACGTAAAATCCGATTCATTTGGTGTTAGACAGGATTCATTCATTCGTTTTAGCTGCCAGTTTCAACTCAGTCCAGAAACAGAGACTTGATGATGTCCTGTGGTGTAAACTAATGTTTATTTTGGCTGCAAAAAACAATAAACATAAAAATTATGTTTAGCAAAAACATTAATGACAAGAAAAATATTTTTAGGCCTGCATTTAACAATTATTGTAGTTGCTGATTATTCCAATGATGAATTGATTAATTGGCACATTCTGCAGTTTTATAATTTATGTTAGAAATGCAGTAAAAGATGAACAAATATTTTAATTTATTTTTTTAAATAAGAATTCTATTGACTTTTTATTTTAATGTAGTAATATTTCATTAATGAACGCTAAGGATGCATCTGCAGTTAAATATGCATATATATATTTAAATATTTCGAACAGCAGGTGAAAAGCTCAGCCATTTCTGCTCGACTTTTTAAAAATATTTTATTATTGAACCTGAAACTGGTGGAGCTAAAACCATCACATAAGGAGTTCTGGGTTGTGCATAATTACAGAGAAATTTGGACTTTTTTATTCTTAAATACTATATATATATATATATATATATATATATATATTTTTTTTTTTACAGTTTTGGTGCAATTAGTCATTTTCTTTCAGCAATGTTTTTTTTTAGTCTGTAAAATACAGTTAACAATTAGACAATAACAAGATTAGTTGACAGTTATTTCAATAATCGATTAATCGTGATTCTTCTGATTCTTGTTTTTTGCCTTTTGTTTTAGAATATTTCTCTTCTTTTGTTCCATACAAACTAACTCCTAAAGGTCATTTAGAGGCCAATCAACCTGGGAGGAGGGCGGAGAACCCAGAGAAAACTGTGGGATTTGAACCCACAACCTTCCTGCTGCATACTAATCTCTGTCCAGCCTTTGTTTTGTTTTTTAAGTGACTTTACTCAATGTATTTTTAAATAAAACTATTACATGTTGTAGTAAAATGACACTCACTTCATCTGCTTGACAATTGTGCTTTTCCCTGATTCTCCAGCACCTGGAAAACAGAAGAAACTCTCGTTAGAGTGAAAACAATCAGAGGGAAGGTGTCCAACTCGCAGCTTCGACTCGTTGCCGTCATGCTCGCTCTCGTTTCCCCGTTGCTGGAACTTTTATTGAACACGCCGACTCACTGCGTGGCAGGAATTTTATCGGCGGCGGCTCGTCGTGCTGTCTGGGCATGAAGGCTCGGGGTTAGACGAATAGATTGTTGTTGACATGTGAGGGGGAAAAAGGGAAACGCGGTGTCAGTGGAGAGGCGGCGAGGCCTTGTGAGCTTGTTGACTAATCAGACAGTTAAGTTGACCGATGAGGCGCCGCAGAGGAGGCCGTGCAGATCACTCAGAGTGTCATGGCAACTGCTTTGGCTCCTTTCTGGACAGAGTGGGAGCCATGTTGACCACCTGCTGCCCCCGTCTTTACGAAGCAAGCCCCCCATCCAAAACGTTTCCTGTTCGACTCGCGCTAATGAGCTTTACCATCGGCTACATTAGGTCTGCTCAGCTGCAGCAGCGTCTTTGTGTTACACTGAAGCTCCAGGGAAAAGTCACAGCTTCTCTTTACTCTATATGGGGAAGTGGAACCACACGCCGACTTCTACCATTTCTGTCACCTCCTGATCCAGTCAGAGAAAAAACACACACAAAACTGAGCGCTTGCGTAAAAGATACTTATTTTAGTTCCACTTTCAATGTAGGCGCAAAAATAAAAGTCACGATGTCCTTTTACCAAGTTAGTTTTGTTTAAACAGGAAGTAGCTTCATGCAGAAAGAAAAGGAGAAAGTGTTTTGCAAAGCATTTCATACCATTAAACCACAAACTTTGATGTATTGTCAAAGTTGCTGCAAATTTCACCAACTCAAATTTAAGAAAGAAATTTAAGACCAACTGGTGATAAATTTGCACAGTTGATGCAAAAACGCTAGTTAGCTAGCTGCTAACATACCCAGGGCCTCAACCGTTTGAGTGCGACCAAAACTGTTGCCTGACAGACCTTTTAAAGATCACAGAAACTGGGATATATTTTAAACAATACAAAATAAATACACAATACACAACGGAAAGCATTATGTCGTCTCTGTAAACATAACTTCCCTTTAAAGGACATAAATCAAAGGAAGAGGAAGTTGTCAAGCTAATTCTAATTTAGCATGGAGTTAATTGATTAATTGCAACATAAAGTTAGCGTCAATGCTAATTTGCCTACATTAATTAATGCTCTCCTTGCTAGTCAGGCTGAATACACGTGCACGCCACACTTTTCAGATTTTACTTTGCAAAGCCAACCTCACAATCACGCCCTGCTGCGTCTTCTCTCACATAAAATCAAAATGAAACACATTGAGGTTTGTGGCGACAAAATCTGGAACTGCTTTCGCAAACTACTGCATCTCTTTTGTCACGACAACAGATGTGAAGTACAGCGGAGTGATTATCACCTGAGGACACATTATATTCTGATCATATGTCGGCGCTCTAGTGTTTCTGTGTGTGTGTGCTCTACGCCCTCCGAGGCCAAACACGCGGCGCTGTGTATCCCTGAGAGACCACACATAGGCGTCCGCGGCGCTGCCTGGCTGAACACGGTTGACTGGTCAGCTGGCCCCGTCTCTGGCTGCCTGGGAGCCGCTAACGGGGCCACACACACTCTGCATACCAAAAAAGCTGCTTTAATTGAGTATTTCCTGCAAAATTGTGAATAAATGCGTTAAAAACGGCCAGCTCTGTAAATTTAATGGATGAAAGATTCTTGGCAGAAACAAAGAAATATGTTCACAGCTGCTTTGTCGGCGTTTCGGCAGTGAAATTTAGACTAATCCCATCAAATTTGCATCCGAATCAGACTGACAGAAGAGACGTGAGCCATGTGTTGTGATAACTAAACACCAGCGGTGCCATTAAAGGGTATGTCCTTCTGCAAAGCCTGGAAGTTTCTTCACAGGTCTGACCTTATCGGGCCCTTTCTGCGGAGTCTCGTTACGCCGCAGCTTTGATACGCCCACCTAAAGGCTGCAGCCGACCCAAACCGCTGCAGCAGCTGCTTTCTGTTTCTGGTTGGGGTTATTTTGGGAGAATCTGAGCCCCTTTCGGTGGGCTTCTTCCAGAAAGAAATAGGAGTCGAGTCCTGCTTCTCCAACTCCAAGTTTCTTTTATGACACAAAGTGTGATTTAAAAACAAAAAGTGCACCGGGTAAAATTCCCTTCCTTTTTCAGCATCAAGATAAACGCTTGTAGAGTTTGCCTCAATGTTCTCGACACGTTAGCAGCTTTGTTTTCCAGTCTTGCGCATCTCTCTTCCTCTTTCACATTCTTTCTGTCCCCCTGTAGTCTTTTTTTTCCCTTTATGATTGATTGTTCCTCTTATTTGCTATCCGATTCCTCTTTTTTTGCCTACATCTCCCTCTGGGTGGATTCAAGCATGAGTCACTGGTGAAGGTTTCCAGAAGCTGGCGAGCGGTGCTGGCGAGAGATGACCGCGGTTAATCACAGGGTTCCAGCTGCCAACGAGTGAAAAAAAGTCAGAAAGTTTGATCTGGCTGCTTGTTGCGTCGATTTTAAAACAAAGAACTGGGGGACATCCAAAGGAGCACAATGAAAAAGTCAGTGAAACACCAGGGGCTATTAATAAATTCTGCCCACAGTTGCATAACAGTTATAGAAAGAGTAATTAGGCTGAGGAGATTGTAATCTATTTCAGTGTGTAGATATGAATAGTAGGATAATTGGGTCCTGGAGACGATGGGAATACGGCGGGAACCAAAAGACAGGCAGAAAATATGAAAACGTCGACAGGCAGAAGGTAATACGCAAAAATTCAGTGATTTCAGATGCTAATTTCAGCTTTATGTCATAATGACACCAGAACCAAACTGTCACCACCAGCAAGAGAAATCAACCCAGCACCGCCTGGATGTGGGCAAGTTCATAAAGCATGAGGTCAATTTCATTAACCTCACAAACCACAGCGGTGAGCTTACTGTGTGTAGTTCCCACAGCCAGCCTATGGGGGCAGCAGTGAGTCTGAGCTGCAGATGTGATGCTGAACAGATGTTTTAATGCTGGGGTGTCCAAAGTCGGTCAAATGATGGCTCATTAGAGGCCTAAGGAGAACACTGACTTGCTGAGGCGGTTGTTACAACCACTAGGTTCTGACCATTTTAATGGAATTAGCTTATTGTTGCCAATTTCACCACTTACGTACTGGCTACTTTCGCTTTGGTATTTTCACTGTAGACTATTTTTCACTCACATTATAAAAATGGTGTTTTAAAGTTATTTTTTTATATTCTGTTCATGTTTATCATGAAGAAAAATGGTCATAATACTGTTATAAATGACATGTACCAACTGCAGGTCACTTATTTTGGTTTGATCAGTAGTCCTGAATGGTGATCAGAACTAAAATAGTTAAATATAGTTATCTATTAAACTCCTATAAATTTAAAATATAATATACCCATAATTTAACACATTAACCAATTGTTTATGGGTTTAAATGGATGTAGAAATAAAAAAACATCAACAAAAAACAGATTTTTGATGTGAAGAAATGGGAAGGAGCAAATTTTGTATCATCCCTACAACTATTAGCCCAAAATGCTAACAGTTAGCAATACATATATAAAAAAAAATCATGAAATGACTGCTGGATTTAAATATGTCTACGCAGGGATTGTAATCCCACTGAAATAAACCCAGGCCTAGCATAATAAAGACTAAAGCTAATGTTAACATATCTGGCTGCTGAGCATCACTCGTTTTACTTTAAGATTAACAAAGGCAATGCATTTAACAACTGGCTATTGTTAAATAATGTTACAAACTAATCAAGTTTGCAGTTGGAATATAAATTGGAATTTTAAAAAACGTTTTAATTCATGTCATCAAGTATCTTCAAAAAGTTGTGAAGCCAGTCTTGCCAGGAAGTGACGATATGTCTGATTATGTCCTGAACTCTGCTAATCCGCCTCATTTGCTTTTGCCACACCTACTTTAATCTCTGTCTGGCAGAAAGACCACAGAGTCTGGGATGTGATTCTTGCCCGATCGATGGAAGAGATGGTTCGAACTTCCTCCTTCTCTCTTTGCATCCCTGACACCTGGTCATCAACTCCTCTGGGGTTTGGGGGTCATAGTTCAGGTATTATTTGAGTTTTTCAGATGCTAATCACCTGCTCCCAGTTGTAAGAATGATACTTTGTTGCCTTGTAGCAACTGTTCAAAAGTAAAACAGCAAAAGCACAAATACCTTCCAGCTCCACAGCATCCAAAACCAGAGGGAATAATTGTCCAAACATGCAATGCATCAACCAAAAAACTGCAATGATTTAACGAGAAGAAGCGATCAGACAATCCTATGACAGAGTTATCAAATAAATGTGTAATTCAGTACATTTATGTCTGGGTATAAAAAAAATACAAACGTAGGTATTGGATTGGTATTGGCTGATACTAAACCTCAGATATCGGTATCTTTAAAAAGTGGATTGGTGCGTCACGAGGTAGAAGTTTTTCAATTGTGTTCAGAGTCTGATGATGCATTTCCTGACTAAAAGAGAATTTTGTGAAACAAAAACTGATTAAAACTTTAAAATGACCAAAAAAGGAGTGTTCTTTTGTAACTTACACAAAAGAACACCAAAGTGTGTTTCACTAGATTATTTTTCTTTACACACACATTGAGCAAAGGGGTCAAAGCCACAAGATACACAACCCGCTGCCTCCTTTCAGCCATACTACCCATTTACATTCGATCCACGAGCTTTGTTGACCTTTTTATCTCTGTCGACAGGATGTGCTTAGAGTGAAACACGGCTGAGCTTCTTGTGAATCAGCAACTTCCACATTAATGTCCTTTTCTGCGTCTGTTTATGTGCGGACTCTTAGCTCTGGTTTTGTGTTTTTCCCATGTACTATTCATTAGTTGTTCTCATCTTACAGGCTCTCTGGGGCCTCCGTCCAGGCCCGTAACCCGAAGAGGCCGAGCGGGTTACCTGGTTACCACGTCATTCGGATTGAACACAAGCGACAGACGACGGCGGCGGCGCCACGCTACCCACTACGTCGGCCGTTCTGTCATTAGCTGGAGCAGCAGGGTCACATGGTTTGTGTGTTTACGCAATGGTTGGGGAAAAGTCAAGCTGAAGCCTTCAGGAACGTTAACAACTTGACCTGACTTGCTTACTTTCAATCAACAAGCCCCGTCTAGTTCCAGAGCGCAGGAGGAATGTGTTTACCTTCAACACCAAAATGTCTCATTTCGAACTCAAACAAGGCAAAACAGACACTTTATCCAACCTTGAAGAAACCGTTTAGGCATTTTGAAGCATGACTCGGTAATCTTTGGGATTTTTTTTTTGCACAGATCAGCAAAAAACACATGAGGAATAGTGTTTGTCTTGCGCTGGCCCACAATTACACCCAGAAAAGCTGCTGAGAGCTCCTATTATTTAGCCTCGGTCAGGTGTTTCCCTGCTACTGGTACAGGCCTCACACTTTGTGTCCTGCTAACCCACATACCGACGTGTGTGCATGTCAACACTTCCCAAAGCAAGCTACCTATGGAGCCCATGGAAAACTTCTCACCTGCTGCCATTTTATTTACAAGGGAAGCAAATGTTTCCACTACAGCAATGGCACATTTTACCACAGAACCGGCTCACAAATGCAAATAACTCAAATAAAAACTCATTAGGTTAAAACACCAACACGAACAAGTGTGTGCATGTGTGCAGGGTGTGGTGTGTTTAAATAGCATGTGTGACTTTTTTTTTTTATCGAAATAATAGGCATAACACTTGGTGGTTTTGAAAATTATTTGGATGCATAAAACCAGTCAAAATGAGTTATTCCCAGAAGTAATGGAAGAGTAATGACAGGAAATTTGGTTATTTAAGGTGAAAAGTGACAATAGGGCTAAGAAACTGCTGTTTATGTGGCTCAGATAAATCAAACTTTGTTTCACAACAGCAGATGTAATTTACTGAATCGGTTGCACAAGAGATTTCAGTTTACGTCTCAGTGTTGACCTTGAGATAAACCCAAAACAAGCATTTAACATCAGAAATGTAATTATCAGAGGCGCGGCTAGAAGGGCTTTTTTTAAAGGGGCGGCTTGATGGGGGCCACAAAAACCAAAAGCAGAACTTCAGGAAGCTGGTGTCATAAAATATGGGGAGATAAATAATGACAGATATTTATGAAAAACACCAAAATGACAAATGAACAAAATAATAATCTGTATGTTATGATCTGCCAAAAATGCAACTATTACTTGCATTTTTGTTGATCAAGTCAACATACAGATAATATCAGTCTATTTTTTTTGTCTCCAGATGGTGACACACTGAGGTTTACCACTAAACAAAAAGTGAGAAAGCAGTGAGAGGGGCTGTGGAAAATTCAAAATTCTTATCTTTTAAAGACAAGGTAAGCACCAAAGCATTAGATTAAAACAGCAAAAACTCCACTTTCTGTACAACTTCATTGTGGAAGCTGTCCACTTCAATCAAAATACCACATCATTTATAATCAAATAGGGATTTCCCCAGTAAACTAGGAATCTCTTTCTTTAATAAGAGAGACCATAAAAAGAGAGGCCGCTGCTTCTTTTCGGTGGGAAAAACAAGCTTTATGGTCATAAAACTAAATTAATAAAAATCTAATTTGAATAAAGAGGAATTTTGGGGGAAAAAGTCTAATTGTTCGTTTAAATTTTTTTACATTTTAGTTATATGCCTTTAAAAAAATTCCCTGGGATATGGTAGGAAAATATTTTTGATCTCATACAAAAAATAAAAAGGGCAAGAATATTTCTTTTGTAGCTTCGTGGGAACAACAAACTGAATTTTCAGCAATAAATTCCTTCTGCATCCTGATGCTCATAGTTCTGTACAATGTAAAAATCCCCAAACTTCACAACCAGAACTACACAAATCAATTTAAATCAAATACGGGAAAAAAAACAAATAAATACATTTAAGATATCTAAATTAAAGTAAAAGTCAATGAAGAAAATATGCAACAAGTTTAAGAGATTTTAAGGCAAAAATCGAGGTGATTGAATTCAGTATTTTTTAAGTGCTCTCATCCAATACTAAAGAATCTTTGACATACAACTCTTGTAAAATTTGTCTTCATACATTTTTATAGGAGTGGCCGTAGCCTCCCTTCAGCCCCCATTTGGCTGTGCCTCTGTCATTACTATGGAGTGAAGGAAAATCTGTTCAACCCTTCAGATACTCGGCCTTATGTACTCTACAACTGGAAAAAAGCTAAAAAAAGACTAACGGCAACATATTTTCAGTCACAATAACTCAGGCCGGGGCATCGAGTCGACTTCCACTGCTACTAGAGGAAATGTGCCATTGTTGGGAGGATTTAGTCAAACGGTCTGCAGAGGAGGCTAATGGCACTGAGAAGAAAGAAAAAACTTAAAATGAATGCAAGTCAACCACCCAAAATATAAGAAAACGTCTCGAAACGATACATTACCACTAAATGAGTCAAAGCAGTGGATGTTTAAGTAGCAAAAATGGTTATAACAGATGTTTCGTCGTGTCTTAAACCATGAAGAAGTGAAGAGTTAACGGTTAACTTAAGCTAGCAAAAAAAAAAAAGGTGGGGGGTGCTAACGGTGCGGAATGAAAAAAACCCACATTTAAATTCACAACTAACATTAAGTAATAAATGAAGTGGGGGGTTTTTTGTGTTTTTTTTTTTTTTTTGCTGACCACTAGTTCTTTTTAATTATTTCTTTTCAAACACAAAGAAGTTAGTCGAGTCTCCCCCGTCCACACTCCCCAGCTTCGGCTCCCTTCCTTACCGAGCAGCAGCAGCTTGACCTCCCTGGCTGCCTTCTCCCCGTCGTCCCGCAGATTCCTGTCGATCATTTTACTGCGCTCCACCGCCGCCTTGTCCTCGGTACTCAACGTGCACCCCATCCTCCACTACGTCCTTCAGACCCAGGTGGTGTGTAAAAAAATATCTATCACACCATATATAACCACATGAAATCTTCAACAAACTACCCCTCACCCCGAACACACGCCCTTTTTCATACGACAGGCAATCGACCTGTTTGTGTGTGTGTGTGTTGGGGGGAAGAAAAGGGAAGCGAATCGACTTCTTTAAATAAAAAGAAAGAAAAATTGCTTCTTCACCCAGATGAAAGGTCCTCAGGTTGAAAAAAAAAATCCCTACATCCGATAGAAAGCTATCTGTACAGTAAAGCAGTCCCTCGTTGATGTGGCTCCCCACTGTACGCGTCCATCCGTTGCAGCAGCGACTGCTCGTACTGTGAGAGAAGCTACGAGGCGACGGCAGCCGAGTTCCGCAAGCGGACAAAGTCATATCCGGAAAAGCCCTTCACAATATAGTTCATCAAGCTAATAGAAAATAAATATTTGGAACGTGTAGCCTTAAGAAATTATAGAAAAGGAGGACAATATAAAATCCCATAGACAAAAGAGGATTAAGACAACTGAAAAAATAATCTGACTTTAATTTTACATATATAATAGTACAAAAAACTTAATTTTTGTACTATTATAGCAATAAGTGTCAAATGACATCAGTGGTACTGATAAAAAAGAAAGTGTGCATCAGATTTGATTGATTTATCAAAAGCTCTTGACAGTGAGACACAGCTTGGTTTAAAAATGATCTCAGTAAAGGGACTCGGTGCATAATGTTATGTTTCAGTTTTGATTGTCTTATTGTGGATTGGTGCGAGGTTTTTTTTATATCTGATTTTATTTGCAAAGACTCATATTACTGAACTGTTGTTCAAGGCAGATAGTTAGCCAGTTAGACAAATATTGTTACTTTGTCAATTGTGGTTTTTATATTATACTGCCAGGTTAGCAGGTCTTCGCTAGAAATGACATTATATGTTGCTGCTTTTATTTTGAAGTTGAAAGACAAAACCGGAAACAGCGTGACAGCGTGACTTAAAAAATTCAAACATTGCCACCAAAGAACTCATATAACCGTTTTTAAATATATTTTTAAAGCTTATGTCCACTTTCTATGTAAATATATAAATCAGGGGTTACAATTACTGATATAACTAATACCACAATAACATTAACATACAATATAGTGGTAGTTCTCTGAATTCCACAGCCAATGTTTGACTAAATGTAAATTATTATCCAACTCATACATCATGTATTATTTATTCCCAAGGGAACCACACATCTAACCAGTGATGTTAGACTGATTGTAAACGCATCAAGCTTTACAACAACCATTGTTTTAGATTTAAATAATTTAACATGTTAAATTAAGTCAAGCATGAATAAATAAGCTTTGGCAGTCTCTGGTCGTTACCGTTTGACTTCTAGACTTTTCTGCTGAGATCACTGAAAAATTGAAGCATTGTATTAATTTCAAACATGACCAGATGAGAAGAAATGCAAATATGGCACGTTGACCTTTTCGTTTTATACTGGTTCAGTGTTTCCCCTCTGTCGTATATACACACACGCACGGACACACACACACACACCTTACTTCTGTTTACAGAAAAACATCTGAGTTTATTTTGTTCTCACAACTGGTTTTGAAGCTATAGCTATGTTGTGTAAAATTGCAATAGAAAATAATATATTATTGATTAAAATATATATATATATATATATATATGTAAATTATCAAAATAATACTTTTGACCTAAAATTTTTTGTTTGTTTGTTTTAGATCATGTTATAATGTTATTCTCTCATTAAAAACATGCTTGGAGTGTTGCCTTGATTCTTTCATGCATGTTTGAAAAATTCTTTAATCTCCATGGCAACCATTCAGCTGTTCAAAACACCTGGGTGGACCTAGCTCCGCCTTCAAGGTGCAGCTCCTCCTCAGAACTGCAGTTTCCAAGCTACTGAGCTTCCGCCTCTCAGAACAGCCAATCCCTGCAATTCCCCCGCTCAGCTCCTTCAGCCTAGCCAGCAGCAATTAGCAAACATCGGGTGGCATCTACTGAACTCATAGAGGAGCCATGTTGTGACAAGTCCCTCTGTCTTAAAGAGACAGAGGCCCAATTTCAAGGTGTTAAATTACAAACTCAAAATTATTTTCTGTCATAACTGAAATAGCATTTTTTGTAACAACTAAAGGTAACACAGTTACTTGAATCACACTATGCGCCTGGAAAATAAACAAGAGACTGATAAACTCTTGATAAATCTTAGACTTTAAAAAGTTAGGAAACATTTTAAGGGTTCATTGCTGAGCTACAAGACTGCTGTTTAATCTGTGGCTCTACTTCAGCATTAGTGTAGTATCACTGTGATCATTTTTGTTGTTCTTACTTTATTAACCATTAGTGAGTCAATCTTAATTTTATTAAAGATAGATTTAATCATTGATTACACTGACTCTTCTTTTAATCTCACGGAAAATTAGACTTGATTAGCTTGATTCTTCTTTCTGCTGTGTTTAGAAGTGATTAAAATCACTTAATGGAAAAGTAAAATATTTGTCTCTGATTTAAATAGATAATAAGAGTGATTGGTTTATAATTTAGCATAGCTTGCTTACTCTGTGAGCGTCACATTAGCAATGAATTACACAGTCCACTGGAGACGGACTGAATCTGGCAGAGAGAAATCTTTGCTGGCAGGACAAATAAGAGAGTCAGTCAGGTGAGATTCACACTGTTTAACAAGGCTGTCTGTTTGAACAAACTGAGCTTTCAGCCACAATCACCAGGCAGCAGTGAAAAAACAAGGTGGTGCTGCCCTCCAGTGGACACACCCCGCCACTTCACAGCGGCCGTCCAAACTGAAGCTCAGGTTGAAGCATAACTTTCAAACTGTTGGCCACATTTGTGCAGAACTACTTAAGTTCACTATATGTAAACAATAAATCAACTATGTTTTAATGTAAACATCACAAAAGTATTAAAACTGATCTAATAATGATGATAATCAAGCAGACCAAGAAAGAGAAAGTCCTGTCTCCTCTGCTGACATTTTATATGCAAAGTAAATAATGCAGTCAAGTGCGGCTAGTACCATCTGCAAGGTTGTTTGCTGAAACAGAGTTTCAACAAACTCTGTTGTTACCAGAGGTGGAGTGAAGAGGGGAAATATGATGCTGCCCTCTGGTGGTCATTGAATGCTACTTACATGTGTTTGCTCTGGAGCCAGTAAATAATGGCTGCATAAAACTGACTTATAAAAGTAAAAACACTGAAAATAAATTAGGTTTTTATTGCTTCAGCATAATCACACTAAAAATTTTAAGAAAAATTTAACTTTATATTTAAATAACTCATACTTACTACTTACACAGCTAATAACTGTAACATATAAAATTTACTAAAATAATATTTGTAATTTAGACTTTAGAATGTCATCACAGTTTATAGAAAATAGCAATTGGACACTCTTCAAAATGGGAAACAGATGAGCACATGACTGGTGAATGGACTCAACAAGATGCAGCTGGGATTTTAACTTAACGCTCACTGTTAAGAACAGTGGAGGTTCTGTGATGCTGTGGGCTGGTTTCTTGTTCAATGGGAGTTTGCAACATCTTTTTTTGTAATGGATTTACAACTGACAAAAAAAACAACAACCATTCGAACAATTTTGTGTCTACTTTCTCTCTAAAACACAAAATGCAGATGCATTATGGGAAAAGATAGGTCAGCTCTCTGTCTTAAGCAAAGATAAAGCCTTTCAGTTTTAATCGGTCGCCTTCTGTGCTTTCCTTATCTAAGGAAAGCATAAATAATGGTTACACAACCAGCCATTATTTATGCTGAAAGATAGAAGGTAATAAAAACAGTGGTACCACGTGGATGGCAACAGCATAATAAGAATCAGAATCAGCGTTATTAGCCGAGCTTGTGCTGACAAACACGGGATTTCATTTCTTCTTATCAGGCTCCAAAACTCACGTGCAATCATTTCTCAATAGGAAAGTTTCCTGATAAGGATGGAGAGAGGAAGGATTACCATAAACACATTTCACTTCATTATCACTCATAAAACGACTGAACTGCAGTCATAGTTAGGGGGTTTTGTGACAAGAGAATGAAAATTTAATTATCCATTTAGTGGCTTTTTACTTTCCACAGTCTGTTGTAAACTGAGGCAGGAGGCAAGAAAATAAAAGTCAAGAGGTAGGATAAATAATGAACACGATAAGTCGGATTATGCCTTGTAAAGTATTCATTATACAGATATTCCTACCAGAGCTGTTGATATTTGCAGCTCCTCAAGAGTCACCATCACCCTCTTGGAAACTATTTCATATTCGTTTAGAAACAACAATACCAATGTTTTAACTCAGGAAGAGTTCAGAAATCAGTATTTGTTGGAATAAGCAGGTTTTCAATGGGGTTCAGTGCAGTGCTCTCTCAATTTTTTCCAGACCTGTATATTTCCAGCAGGTATAAAAATTTTATGTCAGCAATCAAGTCTTTGCTCATCAGCAAAGTTGACAAACTACTCTTCCCTTTTGAATCTTTCTACCAAGTCCGATGTGGTTGTTATCACCTGGTCTGATACCTGGAGTGACCCTTGAACCCACCACGCCATTAGATACTGTAAATCAAGGGTTTTCCTGGCCCTCAGCCAGGGGGGTGTGTGCACCTTTACCTGGCCTCAGCGGCTCCGTCAGCCCCTCCAATGGTATAACTCTGCCTGTGCCGCTTTCCTCCTGCTGCCTGGAACACAAACGCAGTCAAGCTGCAGCACACGCCACACACAGAGACGGGAGAACAGGCAGCCAAGAGACAGGCACACGTACAGGAAGGAGGGAAACGCACACCGCCATGGGCTGCTGTAACAGAAGGTGCGGGCTGATCGCCGGAGCCGTGGTTGGGGCACTGGTGGCCATCCTGGGAGGCATCCTCTTCCCCGTGGGAGACATCATCATTCAGGGGACTGTGGAGAAGGTATGGAGTTCAGTTTCACCCTGACTTAGAGGGTAGGGAGTGACAGAGCGTGTCAGAGAGAGTGTGTGTGTGATTGAGTGTGTGTGTGTGTTTGGAGATCAAGGTGAATCAGGAGAAAATAGAGATCAGGCGTATGCTATTTTGAAAGCTGCTTCAAACTGCAAAACAAGCCAAATATGACTCGAGTTTCCGCACAGCTGATCCATCTGAAGATCACCATCTGCGAGTGTTTCAGAGGAGGTTTTTCAGGCGACATCTATCCGATTCCCTTTAAAAGAGAGCATCCACCTTTTTTCTTTTTTTTTAATCTGTCAGTGGAGATGCTGGCCTGCTGGCAGTCTTGAGGCATGTTAAAAATAGCTTGTCTGTGTGTCTGCGGGGTGCAGGAAGCCGTCATTGAGCCGGGGACGACGGCGTACGAGAACTGGGCGGCTGCAGGGGCAAAGGTGTATCGGCAGTTCTGGCTCTTCGAGGTGGTGAATCCGCTGGAGGTTGTGGAATACGGCGCCACACCAGTAGTGGTAGAAAGAGGACCATATACCTACATGTGAGCTTTATTCATTACCTCCCTGTCTTTGAACACCTCTCTTCAGGAGGACTTGAACTGTTTTCTGACTATTTCTACTTTTAGGACAAGATATCTCGCGAAAGACAACATCACGTTCCACCTCAATCACACCGTCTCCTTCCTGCTGCCAAACGGTGCCATCTTTGAGCCGTCCATGTCAGTGGGAGCAGAAGAGGACAAAATCACCACGCTCAACCTGGCGGTGGCTGTAAGTATGTTTTTATTCCTAATTTTATGCAGCTCCGTTACGAATATGCAATGCCTCTTTGATTTTGGAGTCTGTCAAAAGAAACACCAAAGCCAGCTGTGTCGACTTGCGGCAGACTGCTTTGGTCTGCAAACACTCGTTTTAAAGGTGATTTCTGGCTTTTATGACATCTGACAGTGTGTGTACAAAGAGTTTTGAAAAAGTGACTATCTTCTTGGTGTGTGCTGAAAAGGCTGGAAGCATCCAAGAAAAAATAACAAGATTAATCACAGAAATTGTCTTTTTTTTATTATTATTATAATTGCGATGGTTAATTCTGAGATACGGAAGAGGATTAGGGCCACTGAAATTAAAAATCAGACTTTTTTGTGACTTTTGAGCTCAGAAGATTAAAGTTTTTTTTGTTTTTCAGTGGCACTAATTGTCTTCCATAGACTTATTTGGGTGCAACAATATATATTTGAGACAAAAAGAGAAGTAAGATCATTAAGCAAAATGTTTAAATCAGTTGGAAACGTAACAAACGTCGCCAAGAGGATTCAAGTTTATCTTGTTGCTATGCAAACTGCTTTCTTTCCAGAAGCACATATGAAGCATCTTCCACCAGTGGTGTCCAAACATTTTGGGTCAAAATTACCCAAGTTGAAAGTATTCAGGGGGCAACATTTTCTTTTTTCCCCCCAATAAAAAACACTAAAATGTTATTTTTAGTTCTCTTTTTCATGCCCAACAATAAATACAATGCAATATTTTACATTTGGCTTAATGTTTACAGTTATTTAACTTTTTTTAGCTTATTATTTTCCATTTTTCAGGTCTATAATTTATTTTTTTAGTCTTTCCAAAGAAATGAATTTAAAAGGCTAACTACAGAAAAATAATTTCCAGGTTAAGAAGATATAAACTTGCCATGGAAAATCTCACCATAAAAATACATTTGTGCCATTCTTGAATTGCAGTCAGGGGCCACACAAAATTCATAAAAAGGGCCAAAAATGGCCCCCAAGCCACACTTTGAACACCCAACTATTGAGAGTAAGTGTGCCGATGTTCTCATAATTGTGTATGTTGTATCATGAGCAAACAAAACCTTAAAGCTTTAGTATGTAGTAATAATTGTGTTTCTGATAGAACAAGGTTCAACGTTTCTATTTTATGACTGTTTAGACGGTTAAGTGGACAAAACTGGGGCTGTGTACTTTAATTAGCAAACCTGACTGAGGCACCATAGCTGTCAGTCAAAACTAATCGTACAACAAACCCTGCTGGCTATTGGTTGGTTTATTTTATACAAATAGTATTGAATCCTTAGTTTTGCAAGAGGAACATGTTGAGCTGACCGACACAAAAACAATAACAGAAGGTGTTTACAACTGCGGGAGGATCAATTTTAATCTTTTATCTTCAACAGCTGATTTTATTGACAGCTTCAGCAGAACAGACGAGGGTTAGACTAAAATATTAATCTAAAAGCGAATTTGAACCCTTGTTATCCATCTGCTCTTTGATCTATTTATCTATTGCATCTCACAGAGTGGACCTTGTTACGCTTTATTCCACCTCGCCTTCTTTTTCCCACAATTAAGCTCCCTGCAAGAAAGGCTTTGTGGATAATTTCTCTCTCCGCTCTGGTTTGGTTTTGTCCAAAATGAAAAAAAAAAGAAACAAAAGCCTAAGCTGGTTTTAGTCCCATCCAAAAATAGTTTAACTAGATATTCTGCTCTGTTTTTAGTGGTGAATTGGTCCTCCAATAGAGCATTGAATTGCTTGCATGTACATTTTAATGAATCTGAGGTCATAATTGATCGATGCAGACAATTTTTGATTTTACTGACAGAGCGTGCCCTTTCTTCAAACTTTAATAAGCCTCAAATAATAAGCAGGAGTCTCTGCTTGTTCCCTTCGAGCATCAGAGTCGTAAAAGAAGATTATTTTCAGATTTATCTCTCAGGGGAACAAACACCTCTGTGTGCAAAACAGCTTTTGATCAAAATGTGTATATTTATGAGCCATATCGCCTTGTATAACAAGATCTGTTTCTATGAACTGCTTTTCCAATTGGAGTCATTTTTCTTTGTTTTTCAGGGAGCCTATTCAGCCATTCCAGAAGAGCTACATTCAATCGTGGACGCGATGATAAAGTCCACCAACTCTTCCTTATTTCAGCGCCGCACAGTCAAAGAGCTGCTTTGGGGATACCCAGATCCCATACTGAAAGGAGACTTGGGCTTCTTCTTAGATGTGAGTAAAGATCTAGAAATAAGCAAAAAATCTGGAGAAAGTTGCTAGAAATGCAAAGCTACTGTTAGTTTCCAAACAACTTTCCCTAAAAACTTGTACTTTCCTTGGATGTCTTCCAAAAACTCGCTGAATTGCAGCTGGAAATAAAGTAACAGGCAAGTTCAGAGAACATTTGGTGAAAAAATACCTGGTCATTTCCAAAAGAAAACTTGGTCAGTTCAAATAAAATTTCACAGAAAGTTCCTGACCAATTCTGGAAAGTTCATTGTAAGTTCAGGAAAAGTAATTTGTACGTTCTTGAAAATATCTGGCTACATTCTGAGATAAAAAAAAAGTAGATTTCTTAAAAATTGGTTGCTAAATTTAAAGGGAAAAACAGAATTAGTTCCAGCAAATAAACAAGCAAGTTTCAATCAGGTTGTCAGAAATAACTTGTAGGTTCTGGAAAGCAATTTTTCAGGTTCTTGGTACTGCAGGCTAAATTATTAATTGCAGAAAAAATACAAATGTTGTTTTTTCCCCTCAGTACAATAACACATACGATGGCCCTTACGATGTCTTCACTGGAAAAGATGACATCGAAAACGTGGGAAAGATCGACATGTGGAAAGGAAGCAGGTCAGTCTATTTAAGGCTACCATTTCCTGTCCATGGAGACATTTTTCACGTAACCAAGTTGAACAGAAATGTCCAGTGTAAAATTGATATAAAGTGTGCAAGCCAAAGTGATGCCACACACTTTACATCAGCGGCATTCCTGCAACCTTTTGTCCTTGTCCTACACGGTTGAATGAAATGGCAAAACTGCCTTGCTAGCATGCAGTCAAGCTCGGCAGAGCTCTGCTAATGAGCTAATATTGGAGCCAGGTGTGCTGAAGGAAAGACGCAAATAAATGCGTTACATCAGTAGTTTGAGACCACTGCGATAGATTCTGCATAGGAAATCTAATAATTAGGTTAGAATAGTTGCATTTTTATTACTAATATGAGCAAAACTTTGTCGATATTCTGCTAATGTGAAAAAACAACAACAACGCAGTTGCAGTGTTTTAATTAAATACAATCCGTAACTAAAATCAAACGTGAATAAGTTTGTTCACACACGATAAGTAATTAAAAAACATGTTGCACCATTATCCTTCAACTACTTACGGTTGTCGTCTTCTTCGTGGTTTGCGTCAATGTCAACATCCGGTTGTTGATCATGTGACTTGTGGGAAGCGGGAAAAGGTGTTTAAACTGCAGTTTGCCAAACATAACCAAAAGAAACACCACATGTAGCAGTATTTTTTCTAATTATAAAATTTTTTTTGTTTCCATTGAGCAAATTTATTTTCTAAATGTTCAATTGCACAATCCTATGACCGATGGAGAATACCACAGACATCCAGATCAGCTTATTTTAAGATTTGAGTTGATCGTAGCCCTATTTTATCCCATACATTGTCAGCAAACAACATAGGCATAATGTACATAAGCGTATATTACTAAAATAAGTAAAAATGTATATGTATAATTCATATATGTTTTGTGCCATAGGAGCTTAGGTTTCTGGAATGATGAATACTGTGACAGGCTTAATGGAACAGGTATGTTGCATCAGTCAAAACAAAAACTGGACTCCATGTTGCATCTCTATGACCAAATTTTCTTTCTGCTCTTCTTTAGATGCTTCCTCCTTCCCTCCCTTTGTGAAGAAGAAGGATCCGCTCTTTTTCTTCTCCTCAGACATCTGCAGGTGATTAATGTTCTGCTGTCGCTGGAGCCACTCGTCCGATCTGTTATGTTGGGCATTCAGGCTAAACTTTTACATTTTCCTCTCACACTAGTCAACTAGGTCAGAGCTTTTTCAGAGAAGTTGTGTTTGAAATGGTTGTGGAATCTGGAACAGTCCCTCTGGTTCTTGTGACTTCAGGTCTGTGTCAGCCAGCTATGAGAGGACTGTGGATCTGAAAGGAATCGATGTGTACCGATACTCACTTCTCCCATCCACTCTGGCCTCCCCTCTGGACAATCCAGACAACAAATGTTTCTGCTCAAACATGAAGACCACCAAAAATTGCACACTGGCTGGCGTGCTGGACATCAGTTCCTGTCAGCAAGGTTAGTTACTTTAGAAAATACCAAAAATCAACCAATCCATCTCATTTTAATCTGACATTTAATATTTAGCTTTATGTTTCTGAACAGGGAGGCCTGTTTATATCTCACTGCCCCACTTCCTGCATGGCAGTCCATCACTGCGGACCGATGTGCTTGGCTTAAGCCCCCATGAAGAGCACCACAAAACCTTTCTGGATGTTGAACCTGTACGAGGAAGTCACCGATCAACTTTTCTTGTTTTGTCTTTGGAAGATCAGTGGCTAATTTTAAGATGAGATTGTTTTTTGTTTTCCCACCAGACCTCTGGGTTTACTCTGAACTTTGCCAAGAGAATTCAAGTGAACATGATGTACGGACCATCAAAAGTCATCACGTGAGTTGTTGCTTTATTTTCTTCAACAATTTTGGGAAAGGATTTAATTTTGTGTTTGGCATCTAGGAAGTTGGGAAAGTTTTTTTTCCAATCCTCTTCTTTACAACACTCCGAGTAGAAGCACTAGATGAGTTTGCGTACCAACCTTATCAGTATTTACATAATGTAATCACCCTAAAAAAAGATTTGTATCATGCTATATTTATATCAAATATAGCATCCTTTTAGGTCCCATGATTCCCAGAAATACAATGCATGAACAAGACTGCAGTCTGTAGGGCTCAGAGCATCAAGTTTATAAGGATAAAAGGAAACACTCAGGTAGTTTTTGGCTAGAAAGGAGATAGTCCCTTCTGAAAACCTCCAAATGGGATTTTCAGCAGATAATGTCACCACTTCAATTGACTCCTTTGAAAATAGCGACTTCACTCCTCACCTTATCTCTAAGGCTGACCTTGCTAATCAAGAGAGGATGCCAGTTTTAGCTGCATAAGTATCTGGTATCTCATTAAATTCCATATCTTATCACTATAACTCAGGGTTGGGTTGTAGTCAAACTTGTAAACCGAGGGCTTTGATATTTGGCTAAGCTCTTTCGTTGCCATACCGGATCAATGCCAGCATTACGGCAGATGAAGCTAAAGGACACTTGAACCTCTCCTCTTCATGCAAAGACTGACAGACATAGAGAGACTTAAACTTGTCAAGAGGATGCTGTTTATATTTTCAAACTCCAGTATCATTGTTCCCTCTTTTATTTCAAATCAGCTAGTCGGACATACCTCTTGCGTTGTAGCTAAGGTCAAACTTGGCATGGGATAGTCCATGCTTGACATTTTGGCTTGCCATACTTTGTGTAGACTTCCTAATGGTGCAAGCCAATCTTTTGATCCTGTGTAGTTAGCGGCCAACTCTTCAAGGTACAAGACCAAGCAAAAGATTTGTGTTCATGTTGGTGCTATGCCATTCAATAGCGTCAACATTTCTGAGAAATCCAGCCTCTTCTGAAGCCTAGTAATAGGTTTTGATTATATTTAGTTTCTGAAAGCATGGACACAGCATGCCGTTTTAGACAAGAGGTAATTATTGGTTTTGTCATTCCACCACTGGTTAGCTAGGCTCAATGTCTGCGTAATTGGCGGCCAGCTCTTTAAGACGCATAGCCAAGCAAAAGATTTGCACTTATGTTAAGGCTATCCGACTGAATAGATTCAACATTTCTGAGAAAAACTACCCCCTGCTGAAGCCCAGTATTCTGTTTTGCTTACAGTTTGGGTGTTAAAAGGGTAAAGTTACGTTCATAATCAGTACTTGAAGGTGTGAATGGGACCTACGTTAGCCAAGACTCTAAATATTCTGACATTCCCATTTGACTCACACTGCTCATTTGGGTTTTTTGTCCTCGTCTGGAAGTAATGATGGCCACTAAATCTAATCCACTGTAATGCAGTGACTGGTTTAAGGCTTGGTGCCTCTCTAATGTCCAGCGCATCCAAGATTCAATGCAAAATACCACCTAAGTAAACACATTTCCAAAAATATTCTCATTTTGTCCAAGGTGTTCACCCTGAACATGATTCCCACAAGAATCACAACTGTTGTCCTCCATGCAGTTTCGAGGCGTGCCTCTGCACCTTGTCCTTGTACGTTGCTGTGAGAGAACATTTATCTCTTTCTCTCCGCCTGCTGTTTGTTGGATCGGGTCACAGTGAGACTGTGCCAGGATGGCTGCAATCTGACTCAGAGAGAGTGTAAAATTGCTTGCACTTCCCAAACAGGATGCGTGTGTTTGCTTTTTGAATCAGATGGGAAATGATGGGGAAAATGTAATGCTAAAAGCAGGAACAGGGCATTTAGAGGGAAGCAGGTTCAGAGTTTTACACGTTAGGAGATAAGAGTTGCTGCAGCAGCAAAATTGAGTGCAATGAACGTCTTGAGTTTCTTTTAAACAGCAAAAATGTATACAGATGGTCTTAAAAATGCATGAACTGACAAATTATACTCTGGACATGAATCGATGAGCTCTTTCTTTGCAGGGTGCTCAAGAAAGTAAAGGACTACACCATATTCCCTCTTGTTTGGCTAAACGAGGTAAAGAAAATTTGCACAACGTACTTTGAAGTTTGTGGGTGTAACTTGACAGAATCTGATGTGAATCAGTAATCGTCTTCCTTTCTGTTTTCAAACAGACAGCGACGCTGGATGATGAAACGGCAGAGATGTTCAAGAAGGAGCTAATTTCTCGTATCCAGATGCTGGAGATCATACAGCAGGTGCTCCTGGGTGTTGGTATTGGCGTCTTCGTCCTGTGTCTTCTTGGTTACTTTATTGTGCGGAGGAGCCATAACAAAAAGGAGCTTGCGTAGTAAATCGCAGGTTCACCAGTTTGTTGCACATATAACCACAGTGCATTCAAACCGCCATGCGACATCAACCCTTTTTGATATAGACTTGCAATTTTTTTGCAATCTCTGTCTTATTTATAATGTCAGATCTCCTTTTATTTGAAAAAGGGAGGAATACTGTGATTTTTTTAACCGCTCAGGAGAGCTGAATTTCTTTGCCAATTCTTGTTTTGATTTGAAACACTGTAACATGAACTGAATCAGGGATTTCTTGAAGGAGAAATAGAAACCCCCCTCAGCTGTCAGGTAAACCCTTTATGTCTCCAGGCAGAGAGAAATGGGTTTATTTGACGCCCTATGACTGAAAGGTAGAAGCGCAAATGTGCATATAGTTTGCTAAACTAGTGTGTTCAAAATGAATAAAAGTCAGAAAAAGAGTTTTCATGACTTGTCTTGTGTTTCATTTAATGCAGTCGTGACTATAATTGGTAAGGGCTGATAAAGATCATGAGATCATTAGTTGGTTTTATTGATCTGAAATGCCCTTTAGTCAGTTGTTGGCCTGAAATTCTAATTATGCACTAATAAAACGAAACAAACGCACCCAGTATAACGCTTTCATTCTATTGGCTTAGAGGTTGCCAGGCAACTAGCAGGTGGTTCAGCCAATCAGTGCCAAGGAAAATAAATGACACTCCTACATTGGCACTGGTTGCAGTTTCCCAAACTACGCTTTCTTTTGAATATTTTCAGATTTATTTTAGTTACATTTGGAGTTGCATTTCAAAGAGACATTTGTGATTGCTGAGCCTCAAACAGGCCGCGGTCCAGTGTCGGAAAAATACAGCTGAAACACAGTAATGACTTATAAAGTGACTTATAATGAATAAAAAGGATAATTTTGTTCGCTTTGTGTTCTGATGTCTTCAGTAGAGATGCAGCTCTAAAACGATTGATTTCTAGAAGAACTTGTAAAATAACTTGGTCACTGATAAATCAGTTTCTTGAAACCAGAACCTCTCAAGCTGTTTTTAAGACATTACATCGAAAGAGGCATTCATGCGTGTTTAGGAAATTAAGTATTCATTTTGCTAAGGTGATGGATGGACGGTGTCTTTGTAATCTACATTTTAAGCTAATTAGCTGTTTGGGTTTCTATAAAGCTGAGCTTCACTTGAACAGATTTATTGAGGCTACAACATTAATAAATACAAATAGAATTCATGACAATAAAATTACGGAGAGTTGAAATGAAAAGTCTGACATGTAAAGCAGAAACTGAATGAGGGAACATGCATGCTGCTTTAAAATCTTCTGAAATCGCAGGTGTGGTCATAGCTGGTAAATAACACCAAAGTTATGTACAAAAAACAAACAATTTTGACCAAACTTGTCAAGAATATTAATTTAAAACATTAAAGACACATAAAATACTTTGTACAAAAGCAATATTTTCTATCTACATCATCTATAGGTTGAAAAAAAAAATTCACAAATGCAAAATGTCTAACCAGACTACCTCACTAGGTCTGAAAAAAGGGATTTCCACGTTACTGAAGACTTGAAAAATGTGCTGAGCGACACGGCCTTAACTGCTCACCTCCAAGCTGTTCACTGAAACATCAGTTGTTTTTTTAAACTGAACCCAGACACAGATCAACAGACCATCAGATTACAGCTGGAACATTTCTTTTAGACAGAAATATGGACGAAATGAAGACATATGCAGCTTGGTAACAGTGCCAGACCTTTAAAGTTCCAGGAGGCGCAAAACACACAAAAAAAATGGACCAGAAAATTTTGCAAAACAAATAATAAAAATTAAAAGAATCAATTTGTAGCACAGGTTATACATTTGCCGTTTTTGGCGAGTCAGATTTCCTAATTGGTTTCTTATGTTTTGCTCTACTTTCCATAATATTTTTTATTTTGTTATGTCCAAAGATTTGAGGCGTTATCTCTTTAAGAAGTGCAACAAACATATATCTGGGTAAAAAGCTGTTAATAAATGAATTCATTATTGCAAAATCATTAATTGGAACTGAAAAATATACAAAAAAAATTAGCTTTGGGCGATATGGATTTTAGATTTTATCACAATATTTTGTGATTGTGATAAAAGTGACGATAAGATCCATTTCTTCCTCCTTTTTTTAGGTTATTTTAGCAGTAATCACAAATACTGCTCTTGGAAAATGTGATAGTTCAAATTTTTTGGATTTATTGATACTCTCAAAAAAAAAAAAAAAAAAAAAAAACCTAACAATCCAAACATTATGGTGGGTTTTTAAGCAAAACTTATAGAAATTTATCATGAAAAACTCTAAATTAGAAATTGTTTTTATTGTTTTAACATTAAACTTTACTTTTTAAAGCAATGTTAGTCTTCAAAGTACCTTTTAAACCTTAAAGTGATCCACAGTGGAGCAGAGTTTAAATATAAAGGAATAAAACCCAAATTGATCCTGAATAATTATATTACAGTTCAGCATGGTGGAGGACCTGTAATGCTGTGGGCTCGTTTCTCTTCCAGAAATCCTGGAAACCTCGTTAGAGTGAACGGGTTTTGCTGCAGTTTTTCAGTGTGATTAACGAGGAAGTTTTATAGATTTTTACCAGGAGAGAAAAAGCCAAAGTCGGGGCTGTAAATATTTAAGATGCAGCTGTTATAATAACTGATTGTAGCATCAGGAACAGAGAAACGAAAGCAAAGTGTGATCTCATACTTGGATATTTCTAATCCGAAAATGCATTCATGTGTCTTCTGAACCTTTTTCAATTACAACAACAATAGATGAAGGTCCATTAAACGTATTAAAGCAGCTGTATTTAAGGTGGGTGATCCTCTGAGCGCAGAGTTTATCGGAGGAAGTCGCAGCACGTCCGCTTCCTATCGTGTTGTGACGATCGAAGCAAACCAAAAACTCGTGGTTGAAAAATCACAGCCATCTGGTCGCATTACCTCATGTGAGAAAACTGGATTTTGTGGGATTAAATCTCCCCGAACCAACCTTCTGGTTGTGTTTTAACGTCCGCAGCGGGTCTGGAGCCGCTTTGAAGGGCAGAGGAGCGGAGGGAGGCGTGTGTGGCAGTTTCTGCTGCTGCTGTCATGCGTCACACCTCAGGGAGGTGATTGCGTCTGTTGCGGCTCTTCCTCCGGTCCAATAGGGGCCTCAGTTTGGCCAGGTCCCCCCTGAGGGGCCCGGGCGGCTGCCTCTGCTGCTGCCTCTGCTGAAGCTTCTGGAAGTCCTGCCTCTCTTTGCAGTACTGCTGAACGGCCAGGTTCTCGGCGGGGCTGAAGGCGGCCAGCAGGGCTTTGGGGTGTGCGGCCCAGGCCCAGGGCGCCTGCTGCTTGTTCGCCAGAACGCTCACCATGGCGTCGCTCAGCACATGCAGGCGGATCTTGGCCACGGTGCGCTTGAAGCCGTTCTCGGTGGTCAGGCAGTAGTAGAGGCCGCGGTCGGACTGCTGGACGGAGCGGATCAGGAGGCCGTGCTCAGTGGAGAGGATCCGATCGTTCAGCTTCACCTGAATACACGCAACCATGCAGAATTCACTTTTTGCACATTTTTGTACTTCCATTTGGCTGAATAAATCAATTAATTGCTACAAAAATACCAAATGTTACCAAATATGTCTAATCTGGTTTCTAGTGCAAATATCTTATTACATTTGACAAGACTAAAGATTTAGAAGCTTGTTTTAAGTAAATAATTCCTTAATCTTGGTGAAAAAGTGTTTGCTCCATTGGTAGATTATTCCACTTATAACAAGGGAAATTGTCTTGTTATAAGTACATGACTGATACAATGCAACAAGTACTTTTTCACCAATTATTTACTTAAAACAAGCTTCTAAATCTTGCTGAAAAGATATTTTTAAATTTGTTTTGTCTTAATTCAAGTTTACTAAGATATTTAAAGTAGAAACTAGACAAAAAATATTTGGTATGATTGTGCGTTTTTGCAGTGCACTTGATAAATTAGAACAATGATTTAATGTTTTTCTCTCTTTCTATCAAAACTGGTAGATAAAACTCTTCAGTCTGGTGTTTTGGTCTCGACTAGTTCCTTTTTTTGAAAGACAATTTTGCTTACAGAGGCTTATTAATTCAACTTTTTTGTTGTTTTCTTTATTTATTTTTAGGTATTTAAAATGTCTTCTAGTTCCAGTGTTAAATGTTCACTAGAATTTAAAGTTTATTGATCTTTGAGAATTTGTTCTTGCATTATTATGGCATTATTACCAAGATATTACTTGAAAATGGTCTTAAAACAACAACATTATCAATTATCGCAGTAACTTCTGGAACAATTTATTGTCTATATCTTATCATTAAGTCTAGTCAAGCAATTGGAAACGCCCCCCCAAAACCAAACAACACCCAGTTGGCTCTGGCAATACCTTCACGTTTTTTGGTGTCTGGAAAAAGAGCTGTTTCAAAAGTCTCCTGTTCGTTAAGTCACACTGCGCCGGCATGTCAGCAGTTATTATGCTATTTCAGCAGCTGCTGTTTCGCTGTTGACTCACGATCCAGAAACCACTTGCTGCATTATTGTTGGTTGTGCAGGAGACTCCATTAATGCTTTTCAAAGATCTAATATGCATTTGATTGACTTTACATGAAGCTTTTGGTTACATATTGGTAATTTGTTAGAAGTAAAAATGACATAAGACTCACCTTTAAATTATTACATCTAATAATAGATGTATCAGTCATTTTCTGTCACATATTCTGACAGCTCTCGGTTCAACACTACATAATTCCCTCCCTTCCCCCCAAAAAACTTAAACTTGCTCTCCAACTAGGCTAATGAGGGTCTGATTTGCAAACTGATGCACAGAAATAAATGCCCAGATGGACACTTGGGCATCAAAGTGGGGTACCATGTAGACTCTCTGATGCTAAAGCAGAAATCCTTCATTCTTAAAGGTCTGATCCATAAAAAGATGAGGAAAGAGGATTAATTAGAACACATGAAGCAGAAAACCTGAGTGATAGTTTATGTTTTTTGACAAAAGTCTGGAATATAAATTGGTGATTTTGGAAACTGTTTTTAGAAGCAGTTTCTTCTGAAAACAGTTTCTACTGATTTAGATGCAGTATCTTCTAAAAAAAGTTTGCTTCTTTAGATCTAGACCAGAAAACTAATAAATTATCTGAATAATAGAAATCACAGTTGGATGTAAGGATTTTTCTGATAGAAATGATTCTTAAATCAAAATAACTCTGATTATTATTACACAGACAGCATGGAAATAGAGATTATTTGAACATTCAAACAATTACTACCAGATTTGCACCACAAATCCAGAACAAACCTCCAGAAAACTGCAAAACAGCTGAAACACTGACAAAAACCTACATGTGCAGAGTTGATTTTTGAGCCATAATGAATGAAATATTGACCAACATATTGATGGCATTTGACAAAATGTAATGTTTATTGGTTTTCTCAATTCTTGACTATGTGATGTCTTCTGTATCTTTTGTGTTTATGATGTAATGCACTTAAACTTAATCGACTGATGGATTGATCTAAGGAGGGCCAAATATGCAACAGATTCCACGTCACTGAATGAAATTGCGATGTTGTATTATTAACTGATTGAATCTGAAGATCAGACAGAGGATATTTAATCAGGCACATAATAAACAGCCTTCACGGCTCCATAAAGGCGAACCATAAATCAGTGCCGACCGTCGACTTCTTCAAATGTCAGACTGACCTCTTTCCTCCTGTCGTTGTCCCTCTGAATGATCCAGCGAATGGACGCCTGAGGAGACTTTGGAACGCACTCCAGGAAGGTGGTGTTGTTTTTCACGCCGTACTGCACCATCTCTGCGGCGTTCCTGTAAGCTGATAAGCACACACACTCCGAGTCAGAAGAAGAAGAAGCAGGAAATCTGACTGGAGACTCAGAGATGTTGACATGCAGCTCAGCTTAAACCCCCATCCAGACATTTGAGCACAAAGTAATCCCTTCGAAGCTTCAAACCAACTCGGTTTCCCATCATGCCGTTCTGCTTGCATTTAAATGCCTCAATCAAAAAGCTGGAGCGGTGACAGAGTTGTGACTAATTGGTGATAACGCCCATATGGCTCATTCCCCAAACTCTTCAAGGAAATGGGGGGAAACACCTGGGAGCAGATTCTCTGCAGCTGTTTATCGGGATGAAGAGCGAGACATTTGTGCAGATTTTATTTTTATAAAAAGCATAACTGGCAAAAAACTGTGGAGGAAATATTTTCTTTTGCAATAAATTAGCAAATACAGCTTGGTCTATTTTGTATAAAGTCACAGTGACGATAAAATTTCCTCAATCAAAATGCATTTCTTTTATGAAACTCTTGTGCAGAAAACTGGTTGAAAACCAATTTATTAGCAACATGTTTGTGTTAATTAAACAGAACTGTCAGGTGGAGTGAAATGCTGCATTACGTAGCATTGTAATAAAATATCTTTATGTAATAACCAAAAGAAATATATTTTTTAACTGTTTTGACTTGAACAGCTTCAGGTTAATACAGAGGATTCTGGTTATGAGTCTGAAAAGGAAACAAAATGACCAAAAGTTAAATTTAAATGCGCGTAGGATCCAAAACATGTTTGTTATTAGAGGTACAATGATGAAGACGCACACAGTTTGTGATTATTACAGAATAAGCCACATTATTACATTACTAAAAATAATAATATTACATATTAAAATAGCAGAAAGCATCGCAAAATACGACTTTATTACACTTTGCCTTGATTATTACGTAATGCAGGTTTTATTATGTTTTATTACATAAGTCCGATTTTGTTACGTAATTTCTTATTATTTATTATCTTATGACAAGGCGATATTACCCCATAAAAATAACGCAAAGATAATCCAAACAGTTTGGATGTTTTCTTTCTGTTTTTCTTTTCTATCAACAAAATGTTTCTGTGATGTTTACGCTTCAGATTAGGAATGGAAAGCAAATGTTTGAACTGTTCTGCTCCAGCATTTTGCACAAGTTTGTGGTGTGTTTAAACAAAGAAACATGAAAAAATTAAAATTAATTTTACAAACAAGACATTAACATACGTTGGAAAACTTTATATTGCAGCAGGAAGACGATAACAAAACTGTTTCTGTCTGTCAATTGATTGAAGACTGTGTGACGATAAAAAATAAATAAATTAGCTAAGGCTTGCTGATATATCCTTGTGTGGTTTAAATTAGCCAGAAAACCAGATTTATTTACAATTTAAGTGAAAAAGTGACCTGTTTAATACCTTTTAAGTTGAATCCTCTACACTGAGTGAGTGGGTTTCCGTGCATTATATCCTGCCTCCTGCTTCTCCTGTAAAAAAACCCCAAACAATATGAATATAACACATAACTCACAGTGAAAATACACAGTAATAAAAATCCCTCGGTTCTGTGGTAGGAGGTTTCGGTGCCAGAACGACATGAGGAAAATGTGACCATGTTGTTCAGCCGAGTGGCGCTCTCATGCGGAACAGCTTGGCAGAAGGAGCATGTTAACAGCTGACACATTTCAGAGCAGAAAAAAATATAAAAAACACACAGAAAGTTGAGCTTTTTGTTCCGGGTCCAAACTGAACTCGACCCGGGACCAGATGAGTGGTCCGGAGACGAGCAGCTGGGCCTCATAGAGGCCGCAGGCGCGTTCGTTTGGAGGTCGCTCATTCCTGACGCTCTGTGTTACGTCTGGGCAGGAAGGGAACGGAAACGAGGAATTTGTGACATCATGTGTGCGCTGATGGATCATGAGGACAGCTTGTTCTATTCTTGAGTAGATTATGCATCAGCTGCTGACCGCAATCTGGTCCGCTCATTGATTTCATATTTGTTGTACTTATTAATTGCAACATTCTCAAGGAAAAAACAATAAAAATACCCAGCAAACCTGTCCACAATCCTTTAACTTTTACACATTTTGTCACTTTGTAATCACAGACTTTTGGGAAATTTTAGGTTTCAAATTCAAGCAGGAAGACGTCTGTCTGTAGTTTGGCAGCATCATGCTGTGGGAATGTTTTTGAATTGTAAAAGCTAATAAAGTGACTTCTGAATTTCTCTGGATTAGGAGGATACAAATATTTGTCATACTTTTCACATTTTTATTCATAAAAAGTTTTTAAATCCATTAAACATTTTTTATTTACAATGACGCACTAATTGTGCTCCATAGGAGAAAATTCCAGTGAAATACAATGAAGTTTGTGACTCTACTGTGTGAACCTGTGAACTAATTCTGCTCTGATAATGTAATTATGCTCCACCAACATCTCAGTTTTCATTGTAAAAACACTTTACATGTAGACATATCTGTGGAAAAAAAGCTTAGGGGAATAAGGAAATATGACTTTTTTCTCAGAATTAACTTTATTCTCAAACTTTTGACCTGGTTTTAAATATTCTAGTTTCTTTTTCTCAGAATTCTGACCTCTCAAAATTCAGATGTTTTATTTTACATTCACACTTTTTCCTGTGAATTCTGACATTTCTTTTTGTCCAGTTGTGCTAATTCTCTTCCATATATATTTACAAAAAAAATCTATTTTGGTTTTTGTTGAACTTGTTGAATAAATCTAATCCTGATTAACAAACAAAAAACGCAAACATGACTCATGTTTTTGTGTATTTTGTCCTGCATTTTCATCTCTTGCTCCTTTGAACCTCGTCGGCGTCAGAAAAGCTGCTTTCCTGGATACGTCATCTGGAGCTGCAGAGCCTGAAGCCGTCTCTACCTTTTCCCAGTGGGGTAGAAGCGCGAGCAGCTCAGCCCGTCCCAGGCGCAGTAGGGGTCCCTGGCGAGGCAGCAGTCTGCGCAGGCCGAGCCGTAGGCGTGGCAACGGTGCAGGGAGACCTGGGAGACCCCGAACTCAGAGCTGACGTACAGCTGTTGCTGCAAAAGCAAACAGATGTCAGTCCTCTGTTGGTCTTAATAAGTGGCTGGTGACAGCAGAATGAGGCAGAGTGCTGAAACTATTATTTCCTTTGCTTTTAGGCTTTTCCCCAGAAGATTTTCATTTTTCACCAATTACACATGGTCACAGATGATAAATAATGCGACGCCATATTAGGGTCATTATAGATAGAAAAACAGGAAAAGTAGAATCAATTCTTGCCAAAAATGTTCTAGAAAATTTTCTGAGTTTGAAAAGTTGAAACTTGCAAGAAAAAAGTCAAACTTTGAGATTAATCTCAGAAATTTTCACAAAAACTTGGAGATATCGGACTTTGAAAAGTTGAAATTTGCTAGAAAAAAAAATCTAAAAATTATTCTAGAAAAAAAAGGTAAATTATGTGGTTGAAAAATTTTAAATTTGCTTGGAAAAAAATGCAGAAATTTTGGAATTAATCTAAGAAATTTTGAAGAAAAACTTGGAAATTTCAGAATTTCAAAGTAAAATCTTCCAACTTTTGAAAGTCAGAAAACCTTTCAAAATTTCTGAAACTAATCTAAAAATCTCTGGGTTTTCTGGTGGAAATTTATCATTTTTCCCGTCTCCAACAGTGCTAATATGCCGTTGTAGAACAATGCTTCAAACTGAACGCAAAATAAAAGGGAAAAGGTTTTTGGGTTCCTTACTTTTTTAGAGGAGATTCTCAAATTTGTGACAGGAGCTTGATTCTGGATGAAAAACAACAAAAAGGTGAACATTAACTTGGTAAAATACATAAAAAGCCTCTTTACTTACAACCTGATTTTTGAAAGCAGCCATTAAACTAAATTTAAAACAATTGGCACTCCTATTTCCAACTGCTGAGATTATTTTAATGCAACAACAGAAGTGGTAATTAAATCTAGAATCAATTTCTCCTGGTTTCCTTGAAGAAATATCCTGTGTGTTTTCAGAGCAGATTCCAGAGAGCGCTGCAGCCCAGGTGGCGTCGGGGATCAAAGGAGCCGGAGCGTCGGTGCAGATTTCAGCCAGGATAAAGCAACATGTGCAAAGGGTCAGTCAGGGTAGCAGCCAGACGTCTGTCTGTCTGAGCCAGCGTGTTTCCCAGCAGTCTGTGCTGCATCAGCCTCAGCGGTGCCAACCTGAACCCATCACCGCTCTGCGTTTGATTTTCAGGACAGACAAGAGGCAGGCAGGCGGGAGTTCAGACCTTAAACACTTCCAGCTCCTCCAGGACCAGGTCGCCATGCAGGGACCGGTTGCTAGGCAGAACAATCACCTTCTGGATCGTCCCTTTGTCTGAGGAGAGAGAGGAGCAGAGGGTCATCAGACTATTTCATAACAGAAACAGCTGCAAGGTGAAACTGATTCATTTTTACCAGAGGATTTATTCAGACCATCAGAGGCTCAGAACGTTTGGTTCATGATTTTATCTGGTTCAAAGTTTCAGATGTTTCACTTTTATTGAGTCCATGCATTTAAATACAAAAGGTTCATGATGCAGAGAATGGATGGATGGAGGATGGATGGATGGAGGATGGATGGATGGAGGATGGATGGATGGAGGATGGATGGATGGAGGATGGACGATTGGATGGATGGAGGGTGGGCGATTGGATGGACGGATGGAAAGAGGGACGGATGGAAGGATGGATGGATGGAAGGATGGACGGTTTGAAAGAGGGATGGATGTAAGGATGGAAGGATGGATGGATGGATGGATGGACGGATGGAAAGAGGGATGGATGTAAGGATGGACGGATGGATGTAAGGATGGATGGATGGATGGACGGATGGAAAGAGGGATGGATGTAAGGATGGATGGATGGAGGATGGATGGAGGAAGGATGGATGGTGGATGGATGGATGGAAGGAACGAGGGATGGTTGGAAGGAC